TGTTTCGGGCCCATCACGTGCTATTAAAAGCCTATTGCAGCATCCCACATTGTAGCAAAGCACAACAATGGGTTGTGTGCTCTATATAGAAATATTTGCAAATGTCGAATTTCCTGCCTGGCTGTAGGGCAACTATTTGATGGAAGTACCAGTAAGGCTGTTACATGCTCTGGTTTCCACCTGGAGGGAAAAGGATGAAATTGCTGTGAACTAATTTAAGTTCATTTTGGCATCCTCTTTTGAGCTTCCCAGGAAAGTTGTGCCATGTTTAATGGAAGGCCACTCTGATACACTGTTAAAGTTAGACGTTGATTGTTTTTGCCAGGTGAACTCAAAAGAGACCAGGATAGTCTAATTTTGCAAAAGTGACCTGCTGGAGCACCAAAATTACAAAATTAAAATTAAGTAAAAAAAAACAAATAGAAGACACTGGATGCCCTCTGCAATTTGGTCATCCGCCTTGCATCTGATGCAGCTCTGGATTTCTCTGCAAAGGCAACGCTGGGGGCGAAAATAATGAGTACGGACATGTGAAACACCGTGGTGGTACTCTTAAGTTGAGCTATTTTTATTGACCTCATTAGGGATGGTAGTGCACTGAGGTGATCACGACAGAGATTTAATGCCCTTGATTAACCCCCCTTTGATGCCACAAGTTTCACACACCTGCACATTAATTATCTCATCTCTCATACATACATTCATACATAATCAATGCCAGAAAGGCTTCTCTAAGGCCATCCCCATTGATTCTACATTTTTACGGTTCATCTTGCTGCCGCGCACGAACTATCACCCGTGCTATATCTCCACAGCGATTGTCCTCTCGGATGCATCACCAGTCCATCATTCCTTCTCGTGATGTGGCTGATGAGTGCTCACTTCTACATGCTGGCACTAATACCATCTTGTGCTGTTCGTTTTTTACTCTACAGACAACTCTTGATTTACGAAAGCTCGGCAAGCTATATTTCGCGTCAACACAATTGACAAATTAGACACTTTTCGATTAACAAAATAAAATTTCCGCGTTATAAAAATTTCACATGGGATAAAACAAGAACCATCTAGGAGGCTGCGTCATCCATCCACGACAGCCTCACAGTATCCCTGCAGTGCAACTAAAGCGCTTCCACGTCACCTTTCCAGTCATTGCAACAAAGATCTTTTGGTGAATTCCCAGAAAAGGTTAATCATTTTTTTTACAATTATTCAATCGCTTTAATATTCATGTTCGTTATTACTATTGCATTACGAAGAGCGATGTCGGTGTATATTTTTAGGTTAGGGCGTAGAGAGTTGGAATTACTGTACAAAACATCCAAATATTTCGTATTAAATTAATTGGAAAAGTCATTGTGATTTTACGAACTTTCGTTTTACGCGTGCATTTTTCAAGAACGCATCTCCCCTTTTGTAAGTCGAGCGATGCCAGTGTTGTCGGTTTCTCCTGCACTGCCTTTTTCTATGGTCTCATCTGACCTCTACATTTTGTCCATTTAAGCTGATTTTTTTGTCATGTTTTGTCCATCACGTTCCATGTCTGCTGATCCTCCCTGTGACATGTTGGTCTGTGCAATAATATGAAATAAGCATAACATTTATATAAAAATAGTCTAAAATAATGCATCCTCGTGGAGGCTAGTATTGTGGGTATATTACAGACATCCAGTTGACAAAAATCAGCTGTTTCAATGGTGATTTCCACCAAGACGGTCAGGACCCCACGTCTTCCCCCTTTGGCACAACCAGGGCTTCATGCAACCCGACCACCCACAATTCTGATAATCCAAATCCTGTTCGGAATTGCATTCAATTCTAAGCGTGGAACTATGAGATAAACATGCTGTTACTAAAGGAGAGTTACCCCACATTTGTTTCGCACACGTTTCCAAGGCGCCGTTATGAATAAAACGCATAACTACGACACCGTCAAGGACTTAAAAAAGAAACCTCCTTTCCGTCAACTCGGTGGGGGTGAGACACGAGGAGGCTGGGCCCACTCCTCACGAGCTCGGTGGCCGATGGGAATGCCAGCGCCTCCCGCGCAAAGCGCTCGAGGCGGCTGCGTGGTGACACGTGGCGCCTCCGACGGCAGTTTACTCCGTGCAGCATCTTGCCGGCCAGGTAGTGCAGCCACAGTACGTTGGTGTGTGGGGCGTAGGCTGCCCAGTTGTTACTGTAAAAACGAGCATATGGGGAGGTCCGGGGGTTCGAGGTCAAAAGGAAGGCAAGAGGGGTCAGTTCAGAATTATGAAGTTTGTTTTATTTATTTTGTTCACAAATATGGCATTTAAGCCAAGTGAGCCAACATTTCTTTCAATTATTTTTAGAAGGCAAACTTTGGCAAATGCATGAGGATTGAGTACAAAGTCAGTAGTGTACATTCCATGGGAGTAGTATTACAACTCTACTGTTGGGACTTTTATTATTAACCACTCTTTTAACAAAGTCAGTTACCTCAAAGAAATGTGCTTTGTAATAATTATATTCTAGAATATTTTTATTTGAATGCTGCAAATCAGTCCATGTTCTTCCAAATGACACTTCAGGTTCACTTTTCCGTAGAGGGTATGCTTTATAAAACACCAAAACCTCCCAAGAGGCTACACAGGAAGCAAGCAAATATAACATTTCTGATATTAGGGAGCCACGAGAGCTATGCAGTTTTAAATCAGATTGAAAACATTTCTTTAGAGCAGCTCTTTATGTTTGGTTAGTCGTCCTTTCCACGCATCTACAATTAGCGCGGTGGGCTACGTATGGTGCGAAAGAAGGTTTTTTTTTAATCAAGCTGGACTCTCCAATGTACACAGACAGTTTTGTCCAAACCCAACCTCGGTGATGCAACCACAGCGTCAATCAGGGGAGGGGTGAGGAGACGGCAGGGGATGAGACTCACTTGTTTTCATTGCGCATCATGCGGTAAATGTCGTACTGATAGTCGCCCTGACCCTGGAAAAGCATCTCGTCCAATGCCATGTTGGTGAACTTTATCATTCCATCTGCACAAGCGACACCACCAACACAACCACTAACGACAATTATAATAATCATCGCCAACAATTATCTAAAAATCACCACAGCATAAACCCCTGTTGGAAGCAAGCGATTAAATGTTGACACTGCACAGTACAGATGTGACGTAACAATCCACCTCCCTCCCCGTTAGAGGAACCATCATTATGGATTCAATTCATGCATTGATCTTTTATTTTACGAATGCTATGCGTTTTGAGACCTTGTGGGATGGTGTCGGCTTGCAAAGAATTGGTCACTGGAACAATGCGCATGGTGAAAGGTGTACTGCGTGTGGATTTTTTTTTCATGATCATGTAGGGAAATTGCGGAAATAGGGATGTTTTTGTATGTAAATAACTAGACAATTAAATAAGAATTTATAATGTAAAAATATACTTTCTAATTTCTTTTATGTACGTATCATAAGCATAGAAATCGATTTTAAATCGATGAATTAAAGCATCGCTCATTCCTAGTGCTTGTATTACAAACTCCGTCTGGTCTTGCGATTGGCATTTGTACATGTGATCACATGCACGTGATGAAAAAAAGGGGGGGGGGAAATAAACATTACTTATCGAAAAAGCAATCTAAACAGCACGCACTACATCTCACATGATAAAGTGTGTTGACGTAGAATATTTTTGGAGGCGACTTAGAAATTCAGGTGGCCCAAAACTACGTGACGCGCAGAGAAAAACGTAACATCATGGGTTTTTATTGGTGCAGTCATTGGTGACGAGGGCCGAGAGACGAATCAACGCACCACACCCAGCGATTGGTTTCAACAAATGGGCGGCCGCACACACATTCAAACCCTGAGATCTCGGCTGTGTCAGCTCATTGTGCGGACCTCCGAGCTTGTCCAAATTGCACGTGTGGGAACTCGTTCTGACGACGCACACACTGACCGTGTTCCATGCGGGACAGCGTGTAATCGATGATTTTAGCCTGCACGCCGTGCGTGGGCATGCTGAACGTTTGGCCGAACAGCCGGTAGCTCAGCTTCTTCTTCTTGGTCTGCTTCACCAGAACGTTGCCCCAGTGCAGGTCCCTTGCAGAGCAGGAAAAAACAATTGACGCACAGGAGGCGAATACAAGTTCCCAATGGCAACACGCTGAGGAAAGTGATGGTGATATTATAACAAAAACGAACTTGCCAATCTTTCTTTTTATTTGCCCCTTTTCTCTCAGTCACAGATAAGCTCCCGGCGTTATGTCACGAGAACGGTTGCAAAAGATAGTGTCATTTCACTCGACTTCTCCCGTACAATCTACTCTGATATTGCTGTATATGACAGTTAAACTGACATTAATTTTGAGAGCTGCAATTGATATGAATTAAGTGCAACACCACATTTACTGTGTTATTTTTTGTGTGCAGTCATTGGTGATTGGCCTAATACCATTAACCCACTGCACTTGAGAACCCAGTTAAGGATGGGTGGGTGTCAGGATTCAAACCAAGGGTGTTAGTTAGCACTATTGTTTCAGTAGTGCTATATTTTTTAAAATTTTACCAGGTAAGGCCCACAGAGCTATAAAGCTCTTCAGAAGAAACCTGGCCATAAAATTATAGCTCAACAAAGTGGATTATCATCATGCTGAAATGTATCGCAGCCAAATACTCTAAGCACATGTTTATAAATGTGGAGGGAAAAACCGGAGGATCCGGAAAATAATCCACACAACCATGTGGAGGACATGCACACTCAAAATATACAGGGCGTCAGGGTCGGGACCGAAATCACAACCTCCTATATACCAGGCGAGGGAGCTAACATCTTGCCACCATGGCAGCCCTTATTGTAAAACCCTGAAACAAAAACATTACAATGGCGAAAGAGGAAACATTCGATCATCGCAACCCCACATCGTGTCATTCTATTAGAACGGCAAAACGAGTGGGCGGGAATTGCGGCACACCTAACCCAAGTGGGGTCCTTCTGCTACGCTAACGAAAGACGTTGGGGACGGCGAGCGAATGGCTGCGCCTGTACCTGTGCTCAAAGCATATGGCCTCCTCAGCCACAGCCAGGGCGACCAGCACCTGGTACAGCACGGCGACCATCTGCAGCATCGACGAGAACTGCAAAAAACCCAGAGGAGGATCTCACACCGCGGCACAAGGACGATGATGGCAGCGCAAGGAGGAACAGTTTAAAATGTTTAACACGTAGGCTTTCACGACCAATATCATCCATAAGAGGGTTTTTTTGGGTTAGATCGCATAATATATGTGTCGTTAAACACGCCACCACCCGACGCAGCCAACTAGTAAGGGTTTTCTCGTAAACAGAACATGCGACGTCTTCACTAGTACAGCACACCGGTGTGTTGGAGAGTCAAGCCACAACATTTACAATCGGAGTACGACGTTTCGCCAGTAATTACAAATAGCTTCATCAGGCGACAGCCAGATTTGTGGAGAAGTCTGTTTCGTTCCTTGTATAGAGGCGTAGATATGGTGACCATGCTTCTGCGCTCTTGCGAAAAGTGGGGGGGAGGGATTACCGAGTCAACGTACATTATGCATGTTTGATTATGCGAGCCCTTTGATCTTGTCCTTACTATTTATTTAGTGAATTAAAATAGCCGTACCAACGATAATCCCTATTGAAGTATGCTGCCCTTTATAGGCATGCATTTAAATAAAGTATTGACGATTCGCTTCCACGCAGCACTAAGGCGGTAGCTATCTGAACGCGTGTCAACAAGGACGCTCAATTGATTTTGATAATGTTGAAGTTACGTGCAAAACCAGCTACGACTGGCCAAGACTAATTAGAGAATCTATCGAAATTTAAAGAATAAAAATAACTTTAACCGTTCGGCTAGCTACCGCCTTCGTGCTGCGTGGAAGCGAATCATCAAATAATACTTTATTTAAATGCATGCCTATAAAGGGCAGCATACTTCAATAGGGATTACTGTTGGTACGCTAATTTAATACACACAATAGACAGGAAGGACAAGATCAAAGGGCTGTTCTGTTTACGTGACAACCCTTACTAGTTGGCTGTGTTGGGTGGTGGCGGGTTTAACGACACATCTATATATTTACGCGATCTAACCCAAAAAAAAACCTCCATTCAGTAAAAAAAAATCTCGATTATCCCTAGGTGAATTATCCAAGTTGCAGATGTAGTTCCCCTTTTTAATTATGAGCCATTCCTCACTCTTTTGAGGGGCTCGAGGGACCGGGTGTGCCCACATGGCCACAAACGCTTCCTAAAAAAAAGAGATGGCACATCTTTCACGTTAAATTTCGATTTAAAGCTTTCGTGACTGCAAGGATTCATCTTCTTTGGTTCTTTCGATAAAGTCACGTAGAATGAGAATAAAATAATAAATTAATAAAATAACACAATAAAATTCTTACGACGTTTCGGCCACAACACAAGTGGCTTTCATCAGGTGAAGGGACAAGACAGTCTCGTCCCTTCACCTGATGAAGGCCACTTCTGTTGTGGCCGAAAAGTCGTGGGAATTTTATTGTGTTATTTTATTAATTTATTATTTTATTCTCATTCTACGTGACTTTACCAAAAGAACCAAAGAAGATCTTTCACGTTTCAACCCCAATTTTACGAAGGTAGACCATGTTTTCATCGCCTAATTTACAATTAAGCTTATCTCGGTCACCCCCTCCTCGCCATTACCCAAGGTAATAGAGTTGACCAAGTACAACGGGGCGGTTCAATGTACATCATGTCATGGAAAAGTATCAAATGGAGAAAAAGGGCCAGGAAGGACACCGCAGAACTACTGCCTAGTTCAGGGGTGGGCCAATATTTTGACTCGCGGGCCACAATGGGTTCTAAAATTTGACAGAGGGGCCGGGCCAGGAACACATGGATGGAGTGTTTGTGTGAACTAATATAAATGACATGTAAAAATCGTTACATGAAAGGATTTGGCCTTTAACAGGTAGCAAAACATTTATTTGCAAGGCAATTTAACAAATTGCACGAACATGAACGATACAAAAACATGTCGTAACTCCCGGTCAAAGTGCGCCATCTAAATGGGGAAATGGGGGCATTACAGGAGAAAGGTAAAATTTAATTTAATATTTGGACTGGTTCGGCAGGCCGGATTAAAAAGCCCAATAGGCCGTATACGGCCCGGGGGCCCTACTTTGCCCATGTCTGGCCTAGTTCATATCAATGGGGGATCCGTACGAAAGGCAAGACTGTGTGGCCATTCATTATTCGTTACCTGATAGGTCTCCAAGCTGGTGCCCCCATCCTCAAACTCAAATACGATAAAGAGTTGGGAATCTGTAAAGAAGTCTGGTGAAGGGCAAAAAAACAAGGCACACAGCATAGGTAAAGTATCAGCCATTGAAAACATGCAGTAAATAGATTATAGATCCAATGTCCGATCAAAAACATTTTTAAGACAGACATGCAAAGGATCCAACCATCCTATGCAATTTCATAACTTGATTCCAGGCAGGAATTTATTTGATCTGGATTCGTTTGTACAGTCTGGTCCGTACGGTTGCTAATTTTCCGTCTCATTCATGCAGTTTTGTTCACTATTTACCCAATATAACCTTAGTATATGCAATGAAAAAATATGTCACGCACAAAATCAGGTGCATGTACAGCGAGGGAAAAAAGTATTTGATCCCCTGCTGAATTTGTACGTTTGCCCACTGACAAAGAAATGATCAGTCTAATTTTAATAGTAAGTTTATTTGAACAGTGAGAGACAGAATAACAAAATCCAGAAAAACGCATGTCAAAAATGTTATAAATTGATTTGCATTTTAATGAGGGAAATAAGTATTTGACCCCCTCTCAAATCAGAAAGATTTCTGGCTCCCAGGTGTCTTTTATACAGGTAACGAGCTGAGATTAGGAGCACACTCTTAAAAGGAGTGCTCCTAATCTCAGCTTGTTACCTGTATAAAAGACACCTGTCCACAGAAGCAATGAATCAGATTCCAAACTCTCCACCATGGCCAAGACCAAAGAGCTCTCCAAGGATGTCAGGGACAAGATTATAGACCTACACAAGGCTGGAATGGGCTACAAGACCATTGCCAAGCAGCTTGGTGAGAAGGTGACAACAGTTGGTGCGATTATTCGCAAATGGAAGAAACACAAAAGAACTGTCAATCTCCCTCGGCCTGGGGCTCCATGCAAGATCTCACCTCGTGGAGTTGCAATGATCATGAGAACAGTGAGGAATCAGCCCAAAACTACACGGGGAGGATCTTGTCAATGATCTCAAGGCAGCTGGGACCATAGTCACCAAGAAAACAATTGGTAACACACTACGCCGTGAAGGACTGAAATCCTGCAGTGCCCGCAAGGTCCCCCTGCTCAAGAAAGCACATACACATGCCTGTCTGAAGTTTGCCAATGAACATCTGAATGATTCAGAGGACAACTGGGTGAAAGCGTTGTGGTCAGATGAGACCAAAATGGAGCTCTTTGGCATCAACTCAACTCGCAGTGTTTGGAGGAGGAGGAATGCTGCCTATGACCCCAAGAACACCATCCCCACCGTCAAACATGGAGGTGGAAACATTATGCTTTGGGGGTGTTTTTCTGCTAAGGGGACAGGACAACTTCACCGCATCAAAGGGACGATGGACGGGGCCATGTACCGTCAAATATTGGGCGAGAACCTCCTTCCCTCAGCCAGGGCATTGAAAATGGGTCGTGGATGGGTATTCCAGCATGACAATGACCCAAAAACACACGGCCAAGACAACAAAGGAGTGGCTCAAGAAGAAGCACATTAAGGTCCTGGAGTGGCCTAGCCAGTCTCCAGACCTTAATCACATAGAAAATCTGTGGAGGGAGCTGAAGGTTCGAGTTGTCAAACGTCAGCCTCGAAACCTTAATAACTTGGAGCAGACATGCAAAGCAAAGAGGCGTGGGACAAACTCCCTCCTGAGATGTGTGCAAACCTGGCAAACGTCTGACCTCTAAGATTGCCAAGAAGGGTTTTGCCACCAAGTACTAAGTCATGTTTTGCAGAGGGGTCAAATACTTAATTCCCTCATTAAAACGCAAATCAATTTATAACATTTTTGACATGCGTTTTTCTGGATTTTGTTGTTATTCTGTCTCTCACTGTTCAAATAAACCTACCATTAAAATTATAGACTGATCATTTCTTTGTCAGTGGTCAAACGTATAAAATCAGCACGGGATCAAATACTTAGTTCCCTCACTGTATCATGAAAATTACAATAGACTTTTAATTGACGAATGCATCTTTACATGTCTACCTTGCGTACAAACTTGCTATTTGAAATGAGATGACAGGATTATCATGACAAGCATGATGGATGTTGGACTTGGCACAAACCAAATATTTACTAAATATTGTAATCCTGAATTCACGGTCTCATACAACACAATAATAATGTAAAGCTGTTGAATGGAGGCCTTCCCATGCCACGTCAGTCCTGAGTGTTGTTTGACGATACTCTCCCACAGCAGTCAGTGTGGATTGGTGAAAGCTTTCCCAGAAATCGGTTAAAATATCACTCTCCACCGGTGTTAACCATGATCGGGAATCAAACTCAGGTTTGCCATGTCTGGAGAGTAGTGTGTGGAATACACTGCGCCTCCGATCCAGCCCAGACTAAAACTTGCATCAGTACTTGTTTTTTTAATGGGGAGCACCTCTACGTGGGTGCATATAGTTAGAAAAATAAATAAAGCGGCAGGGATCTGACGCGTTACTCACTAGGGCAGTCGTTGTCAGATAATTTGTTCTCATGGAATTCATTCCACGCTTCCAACAGACGGTCCGGGTAAGATCCCTGCAGGCAGCGCAGACTAGAGGCACATGCACACACCGGGTGGGGGTGCTGTCAAACACAGACGGAGGAACTCCAGCAGCATGGCACTCGACGGTAGAGAGTTCAACAATTCGGTTGTAGAAATGGTATGCCGAGTATGTTAGCACACATACATACACACAATGCAAATTGGATGCGTGCAGGATACAAACGCGACCGTATCTCAAGACGCTGAGAGTTATGGTGGCCATCTTTTTAGAGAAACAGTCATATGCAGAGCATGCAAAAGGTACCGAGCCTGGACTTACAAAGAGGGAAGAAATTGACCAGCATGCATAGCGAGGGGGGGGGGGGGAGCTCCAGACTAAATCAGATTAATAACCTGCACGAGGATATAATTATTGTAATCATCCATGCTCTTGACCGAAGCTTTCACATATAACCAAATCACACTGAAAGTGCCCATTCTCATCACATCTCCGGCTTAAACTGGTTAGCGCTTGGGAAGACTGCCAGGAACAGAAGGTATTGCAGACTTGGGCTATGAGATGGCAGTGAAACAATTCATTCGTGAATCCATCTGTGCAGAGCTTTAAAGTGTTACTCAACACTAGGATTTTCTCCCGGTAATCCTATTTCCTCCCCCGACGTAAATCCAAACGCTCATTAATAGAATGGGTCAAACATCTTGCTCACACCAACCCAATAGGAGGGATGCTATACAGGTCCATTTGTCAACTCACCCATTCAGCTTGATGAAGTTTTCAGATTGGTGATGCTCCCCTTCATGTAGGCTGCTCAATTGCCTGTAAAAAAAAAAGGTTTATGCTCTTCCATAATACAGGTTTTTGTATATTGGTCACGAAAGTCTACGTGTTTTATGCTCTTGTGAGTTACTGCTTATTTTTGCCATTGCGGCCAATTCTGTTAGGGTCTTATTCACATGACAAACATGAACTTATCAATACCTTAAAAAATGGTTTCCAAACACCAAAAGCAGCATGCCGACAGTTATCACACGTGCACCAAGACACGTAAATAATTGTGACTTTTCCGCCAATGAAATGCAGGTGGTGTGAAAGCGTACTTGCAGATCATGATTTCGGGAAGGATTTCCTCAAAAGACTTCTGGGGTTCTTCATTCACCAATACACTGCCCTCGATAGGAACCACCTGGTCAAGACGAGCAGAGTGAAAAAGCACACCCCCCACCACCATCACAAAGATTAATTAATGCTTCAGTTTATAAACATGAAGCAATGTGTCCATTCACCATTGAAGTAGATTCTCTTCTTACACCAATGATGCATGTAATTAATTGTGTGGAATTAAATTATAATGCATACAAAATGCACGCAAATAATATTGCCAATTGAGCGAAAAAAACTTTACAAATGAAAACGAAAATTTATAATCAAGGTTTTTGGGTTAGAGTAAATGTGTCATTAACCCACCTCCACCCGACACAGCCAATTATCAAAGGTTCGTCACGTGAACAAAAAGTGCCAATTAGTTACGACTTCATGACGTACATGTACACGATCTAACCTAAATACCTTTACGATTAATAATATTGGTCACGAAGGCCTACATGTTAAATTGAGAATGGAAATTTTATCAACAAGATGAAATGAGAAATATATTCTGGAATTGAATTGGGTACCCCAGTGCCAATTAATCAATTTGTTAGGAGGGCGAATTGTAACATGCCTAGTAGTACTCGTTGGTTCTTTCGGTCAAGTCATGTAGTTAGAAATAAAATAAATTACGTTTCGATCGCAACGCAAGCGGTCGTCATCAGGCGTATGGATTCCTGTAGTCACGAAAGCTTCAAATCAAGAATGCCAAGTAGTTTATAATGACAATAGAACTTATATACTTTGATCAATAATAACAATCGTAAACAAAAATGTATATCCCTTTATCCATTGCTGGATTAACCCCTCCCCATTCCATGACGGTTATGGATGTTGTTTACCATTCATCACTATTTAAGATGTTACTTGGTCTGTCAAAATTACAACGCCATTTGGGAATGCAATCTAATACAAGTAGTTACTGCTGTACAGCACTAAACTGGGATTGCGTAGCACATGTTTCCATGCAGTATAGACCCAGCTAAAAAGTCAAAGTTGCATTCCTCACCTTCCATTTTTAGAACTCTGATATTCCAAAAAAAGTTGTCTTCCAATGTTAGGGATCCAACTCCACAAAAGCATCATTACTGTACATGTGGGATGTTGTACATCCACCATCCACCTACATTAACTCAGAACCAACTAAACAAATCGGGCAGTAACCAAAAATAACAGGAGCACTTTAGGCAATCGCATACACAATCTGCCTTTTCCGAGCCTCCAGAGTGATTTGCGCTCCAAATCGTTTTTTGTATTGTATGTGTGCTGTTGTGTTAACTTTCTAACCCACCCCTACTGGACATGCGAGAAAAAGAGCTTCCATCGAGCTCATCGATATTTCTCCGGGACAAATAAAGATCCCGATCGCGACTCAAAGGAACTCTTAAGTCGCTACCTTGAAGACGGAGACTTTGTCGCGACCGCTGCACATGCGGAACACCTCTCCGTAAACCCCCTCCCCAACCTTGATGCAGCTGCCCCCCTCAAGCGACAGCAGCCACTGCGAGAAGGCCAAAGGGCCCATCTGCTTGCATTCTCGGTAAATGTTCTCCTCCGCCAACCCTGCCTCTGTATCCTGGATGGAATCGTTGTAAAGCATCGGGCTCTGTGGGTTTAGAACGAAGAGACCCGTGGGCGTCACATTAAAAAATGCGCGGGAATGCGAGATGATGCATTGTTGCAAATGTAGCGTCGGAAATATATAGCACACACCGTCCTGTGTATATTTACCTGTAGTTGCGGGCACAGGTCTATAGGGGGTGCCACCCTGGGTTAGAGAGAGAGAGCCGGATCGTTGAGGGGCCGAGTTCTCCCCCCGACCCCAGGTGAGGGGTTGGGGGTTATTCTAGAGCCCCCTGGAAGGGGGCGGAGAGTCCCCGAGGTGTGTATAAAAGACGGACCCCAGGACGGCTCGGGGGAGTGCTCTGAAGATGAAGACCAGCTAGGCTAAGACCCTGGGACCCGACGTCCTTTAAGGGCCGGGGCTGAGCGCGGACCAGTGGTCGGGACCCGCACCTTGGCTGGGTCGGGTCAGTTTAGCCTCCCCTAGGTCACCCTTAGCCGGAGGACTCAGAGCCCGTAGCCCCAGTGATAGGGCACGTCAGCCCGGAGGCCATACATCCCCAGGTAGTGGGAGTAAAATGGGCTTTCTGTTAAGATTTACTATAAACCGTGTTGCCTCTAAAGACTACGTCTCCAGTCTCCGTGGAACCCACTACATAAATGTAAAAAAGAAAAAAAATTCACAGGAAAGGATGGGCTTCAATTGTCTTCACTTTGACAGAATATCTAGTCACATTTGGGTGCAAAATGATATTGGGGTTGCTAGAGTTATCCTTTCGCGTAATCATTTTAAAGTGTATATGTCTAAGACTAGATTTAGTTACTTTGGCTTGCTAAAATAAATTGGGAGCTGGAACATGCAACAACAAAAACAGAAAATTATCAATCACATTAAAAGTGGCCAGTTACAGATGCACTGGCACAAATGTTTCAGCTGCACAAGGCTCTTACTAGAAACGCATTGTATCCACCAATGTTGTCGTCCATATCCATGAGCTGCAGCCCTTGAGCACACGCCTCAGTGTTGGGACTGCCAGTGGCGCAAGTGGTCACCAGGGAGGGCAGTGGTATCGCAGTGCTAAACTCCGACCGCCGGACCAACGCTGCGTGCTTGTTTGGCGGAGACTCTGGCGTGAACAAAACTGCAGGGCGACAACAGTGCCTGCCTTACACCAATGACAGTTCATAAACAGTTATTTTTCATCCCAGCATAAGTATCACTGCATTCCAAAACTCAGTGGAAATTAATGTTTATTATTAAGCCCAAGATTAATGTATTCAGGCGTATACATTTTTTCTATATTGTTTGTGTTTACACGATCCCCGCAGCGACTAGTGACTGCAAAATTCAACACCATTAAAAAAAAATCATAAATAAAATCTCAACCCCGAATTTAAATAATTAATCGTATTGCCATGGGGAGGGTCAAGCAGAATTATTGCATATCTATACAGTGCACAAAAAACAGTGCCATTGTCATTCATTGATAACAGGCGTGAAACACAACGTGCGTGAGCATTTCATACCGGAGTTGCGTCGACCAAGCACCGATTTCATGCGCGACCATTTCTTGCCGTTGGACATCGGAGCAGAGGAATCATCCTTCCCCAAGTTGTTGGCTAACTTGGGCGTCTGACCAATGCAAAACAGGCTGCTATCACACAGGGAGGACCCGTCGTGCTCTACTTCAGAGGTCTCCGTTCTGGATGTGTCAAGTGTTGCAGAGGAATCATCCTTCCCCAAGGTGTTGGCTAACTTGGGCGTCTGACCAATGTAAAACAGGCTGCTGTTATCACACAGGGAGGACCCGTCGTGCTGAACTTCAGGGGTCTCCGTTCTGGATGTGTCAAGTGTTGCAGAGGGATCATCCCTCCCCAAGTTGTTGGCCAACTTGGGCGTCTGACCAATGTTAAACAGGCTGCTGTTATCACACAAAGAGGACCCGTCGTGCTGAACTTCAGGGGTTTCCGTTCTGGATGTGTCAAGTGTTGCAGAGGGATGATCCCTCCCCAAGTTGTTGGCTAACTTGGGCGTCTGACCAATGTTAAACAGGCTGCTGTTATCACACAGGGAGGACCCGTCGTGCTGAACTTCAGGGGTCTCCGTTCTGGATGCGTCAAGTGTTTCTGTCATGATGGTACTGTTGTGGTCCATGTGATGAGAAGAGTCATTGTTGCCCAACAAACGCTCTGCATTGTCGCTGCACACACTGGCGGCCAAGTCAACGGGAACTCCATCGCCTGCGGAGGCTATCTTGTCCATTGCTGTGAGGTGACCTGCTTCGAGACAATCTGTGCACACTTGCACAAACGAACCGTTTAAATGGCCACTTCTCTTGAGTTTGTGCAAAATCTTTGAACTGACCCTAACTCTATTTTTCTGTAGAAAGCTATGAATATCGTGATGAAGTACAAAGTCTTCCAAGAACACTTTACAGTTGCGGAGCCTCATTTGTTTGTTGGCTAAATTTACTTGAGAAAAATCCAAATTACCCATACGGCTAGCCGTACCTGAGGTAGCTATCGAGATGGAAAACTTATGTTTTGGTGTGCTTGCAAACACAGCTAACTGCTTTGGCACACTTTCAACTGATCCAGTCGAAGCTTCGGCATTAAATACGTCCTCCAAATCGCTCAAAGTGCTTATTTTTTGTTTTCTCGTTACAGTCACAAACCTATTGAAAGGTAATTTGTTGCATGCGTTTTCCAACAGAAATGACGCATTCCCATCAGCAGACTTTACGTCATGGCCCGTGTCACTTCCTCGCATTTCCCCGACAGCGGAATCGAACTTGTGCGCGTCTTTAATGGAATTCTCTTGCAAGGACATCGAGCTCTCGCTTCCTTGGCCACCACTAACTGAGATATCGGATGTCTCTTCCGTTGAATACAGGGAGTCGTCGTTGAATGTTAACCTAATGCGATTGCGAAATGCATCATCATTGCCATTCTTTCGTGAGGAAGCAAGAGTCCCTTTGAGTTGCTTGTTATCGTCTTCAGAATATTTGACTTTCGATTTTTCTTTAGCCGCCATTCGCTTTCTGCGAATAATAGTTTTTTCTTCCGAAGCAACATCCATTGCTCTGTCTGGCACCCAGGGGCTTTCGTTAGTTTTCTTCCCTCCGCCAGTCAACTTGGGCGTTTTCTTTGATTGCACATCCATCAGTGGGTTATAAAACAAACAAAAAACATAAAATAGAAACTGGTTATTATTGTTCACACAAGTACTTTGACTGTGAGTACGTTTCTCTTGGAATACCTAGGCGATGTAGCAGTTGCACATCTTAACGATAAGTAACAGGTGTATTGCTCTGTACGTGCAGAAAGAGGTGGGCAATTACATTTTCGGGCTGAAAGATATTTGAGCATTTAGCAAAATGAGGTTCATAAAATAACGAAGGTCCTCGCATATTTTGGACACTTGAGCAGCATTAGTATGCTGCACAAAAAATTACTCCCGTTTAAATTGCGCTTGCCGCACTTTGCGTTCTGCAAAAAATTCGGCTTAGTTATGTGAAATCTTAAATCTGAATCCAAAAGTATGGGATCAAGGAAAATCACAATTTCCATACAAAAAGCAGTGTCACATTGGCAAGCAGACATGTAAAATTAGAAAATAATGTTAATTATCTGAACATTATCTCAAACATCCTAAATATAAAAAATATGAATGGATAAACACTTGTAATAGTAACAGATCATGCCGACTAATAAGACTGTTAACAATGTTAGCACCATAGAAAAAAAATGTACACAATTAGCTTTTGCCGTTACATGGAAAATGGTGTGTGCAATACCGTCATTGTTAAAGTAAAACGAAATTATCTTTAGTTTCTCAACGTTCATCATAGCCCATATTGCATGACCATATCAAAGTACGAAATCTGCCTTGGTTTTATAACCGTGGTTTCTTTTTAAATCCACTCAGCAAGTCTCCATAGCAATGCAAACTACATTACTTCTCGTCTCTTGTAGAGTATCGCAAGTTAGGTGTAAATTATACTTCCAGGTTTAAGTTTGTGAGCCATGTGATAACTTTGGAAGGAGCACGACTAATACTGCAGTCCATTACTGCAATAATTGAATCAACAGCACTGAAACGTGAAGTGCACGCTGCATCTGATCAGTGAATATTGCAACAAATATGCTACCATTTGCACGCGAGGACACAAAACTAAATTAACATATGGTAGTGGCATGGCCTAGCCGTAACACGTTCACCACTTGTTGCAGGAGACCACGATTCGAATCCAGCAGTTTATTTATTACTGCAGGTGTAGTTACCATGATAGGTGCCATCAGCTTAAGAGTAGACATTAAAGAACCTCTCACGTGATTTGCAAGAGCAGTTTATTTTGTGCTGCTGGCAGAATCCAAATTTGCCCAATGATTTTTTTTCGTTCGCAAACTACACTCAAATCCGAAAAATACAATAGTAATCATTGCCCCCTAATGGAAGATGAATGGCCCAGGTCACTTGAACAAACGGAACATTTCCATGCAAGCAAGTAAACTACCGTATTCTTGCTTATAGCAACATGTTCAGGAGCTAAATGCAATTTCAAGATCTGCTTGCCACAGGAGGACTTTAGGAGAGAATTTGTTACATTTTGCTACTCTGTTGAAGGAGTGAAAACGTCAGTGGTTTACTATATGGTCCATAGTTTGGGTTGCATAGCCACACACTTGCACCACGGCTTGTCTTTAATTTTACTTTTATGAAGGGGACACTAAGATTGTCGCTCGCACTCATACATGAATGTATGCATATTTGTGTATTGAAAAGTTACGTACCATAGGGGTCTCCTCAAAACAGGCTTTGAGTTTGAGTAGGGCAGATTCCTTGGCTTTGCGCTGTCTGAGACACAAATACCCCCAAGACACAGAGGAATATGATGTCACTGGGAGATCTCACAGAAAACAATACTTGACATGTAAATTATTTAGGGATTCAAATAGATTCAGGCACTAAAGTACTTGTTTCGATTTAAAGCTTTCGTGACTGCAATGATTCATCTTCTTTGGTTCTTTCGGTAAAGTCACGTAGAATGAGAATAAAATAATAAATTGATAAAAAATATTATTGTGTTATTTTATTTTATCAATTTATTATTTTATTCTCATTCTACGTGACTTTACCGAAAGAACCAAAGAAGAAAGTACTTGTTATTTACAACAGATTCTAATTATAGGCTGTAATATTTAAACTAAACGAGTAAACAAGTACACGGGACGGGTCATGGAGAAATATCCAAATTAGATGTCAAAAACAGGACAGAAAGCAAATCGATGCTTGAATGAAACCTCACAGCATAAAATTGTGACATTTCATCAAATTGCTGAGGGAGGTGTGTGGGCATGACTGATGCAAGACCTTTTACGCTTCTTTTCCCCTGTGCCGTTCCTGTCGCCGCAATTCGACTCCTCACATTCGGCTGCCAGTCGCGGCATCGTGTGGCCCATGTATCTCGTACCGACGCCTCTCCTGCTGGAATCAATATATTTTTGACGGCCAATGGAAGTTGTGGGAAAAAAAAAACACACACGGTCAAATTGTGGTGAAACCACCCCCAGAATAAGACAGCTATGTGAAAGTGCGATTGCAGGAATTCTTAGATGATTGGGACTTGGAGGTTTTTGTTGAAAAATAACCATATCATCTGCCAATCAAGTTCAGGTATCGACGCACACACCGGCTGGCACCGTTTGTATCTCACACCTCCACGATTAGCCACGGTTGGATACGTACGGTGCGAAAGAAGTCCAACATACATATTCCTACATCGTCTCACACACACACACATCATCAAACACTTGTCTCAATCACATACACCATCAACCGCCGGGTCGCCACTGCGCGTGTGCCAGGCTAGGTGCACCTTTAGGCCACGTGAAGTATCGAAGGCTCGCCGGCTATCGGTTGACTAAGATGACTGGGCATACGGCACCATCATCTGTACTCACTACCGCCAACTTCCTGCGTTTTAGCCGCCCGGCGCTCCGTTCGTTGTTGTGAGCGTTGCTCATCTGCCTTACGCAGAGGCCGATCCAGGCATCGCTGGTACCAGTCAATCCACTCCATTCCACAACATTTTGTACCACATTAGCAAATCTCCTCTCCAGCCTGTACCGCGTCCATTTCGCCCCTTCTATCGGGTCAAACAGAAGCTGCTTGGGCATAAATGACACTATTAAAATATTTGTTGTATTTTACTAGGCAAGGCCCACTGGGCTCTATCGCTCCTTTTAAGAAGCGACCTGGCCACAAAGGATAGCTCAACGAAGTAGCTTATCGTATATAAATGTTGAGCATGTTGTTTAGAAATGTTGCGAGAAACCCCGGAGGACCCGGAGTAAAATCCACGCGACCACGGGGAGAGAGTGAGACACGCAAACTCCAAATATACAGCAGCAGGTGTCACAGGGTCGGGACTTAACCCACGAACCTCTTGTATACCTAGCGAGATAGTTAACATCTCCTAGCCACCGTGATGCTGACGAGACGCGCAAACTCCAAATATACAGCAGCAGACGTCAGGGTCGGGATGTAACCCCACGACCTGCGATGCAGAGCAGGCGAGGGAGTTAACATCTCGCATGCATTTCATCACACTCACCTGCCGTCAGAGCCATCTTCCTCCATGTCTTCATTCTTGTCCTCGGGTGAGAATCCGAACAGATGGTGCGGGGTTGAGATCCACATGCGATCGGACTCATAAACATCGCCCCGACGACGTCCGTACGTCCGCAGCATTCGCCCGCCCTGCATCGTTAACTAAAAGTTGCCCAACGAAGGTCGAGCAGCGTCAATGCGTTCGCTGTCCGTGGCCATTTGCTGTAGCACGGCGAGAGAGAAGAGGGGTGTGAGGTGGTGGAGTTAAACGATTATCGTCGAAACACCCACCCTCCCCTCCGACGAAATCGACCGCAGTGTCGTCCACAAAGGCAGAACGAGGTTCACTTTGCTGTCGCCAAAGACAAAAGCAGCACCAGATGGACGGACTCGCGGCTACGGGTTTGTGTTGTTAACGTTGTCGCGTTGCTTACGAGGGGCGCCACTTTGTAAGTTTAACTAACACACGTGAGGTTTTTCGCGACGTTGTAAGTTTAACTAACACACGCGAGGGCTTTCGCGACGTTGTAGGTTTAACACACGTGAGGCTTTCGCGACGTTGTAAGTTTAACACACGCGAGGCTTTCGCGACGTTGCAAGTTTAAAACACGCAAAGCTTTGCCTACCTCTCGCTTCCACGTTTAAATTCAAAAAAAGTACAACAAACGCGCGTCGACCAATGGCGTGGAAGGCGCCTGCAAGCCGCCTTTTTATTGGTAACCGTGACCTCCAAACGTTGTCCCCCTCCAGCCAATCAAAATGTGGGGGGCGTTGAAACCGCTTCTCCCGTCTTTCGACCAGTCACATCGGTCGTTGCTCAGAGATTTGTGGTGGGAGTGGTTGGTGGTGGTGGAAGGGTAACGATTTGCATATTCGTCTCTGATTGGCTCCGCGGTGGCTGGGCGATTGTGAACTCCGTTCGCGGGATATGCAGGAGGTCGTGGGTTCGATCCCGACCCTGACGATGCCTGCTGCTATATATTTGGAGTTTGAGTGTCTTTTTCTCTCATCATTATCACAGTGGCTAGGATATGTTAACTTCCTCGTCGGGTGTGCAGGAGGTCGTGGGTTCCATCTCGACTCTGATGACGCCTGCTGCTGTGTATTTGGAGTTAGCGGTGTCTCGCTCTTAAAATGCAGAGTACTGTACTGTATTTGGCTACTGCTATTCGCTTCCGCTTGACGATAAGCCAATACTTTGTTGAGCTATCATTTGTGGCCCAGGCCTAACATGGTAAAATAACCAAAATATCATTAGATCTCCTTTGCCAGTACCAAAATTTAATAATAGGGTTTTCCCCCGTTTTTCTGGCAAAACTGAAACCTTTTTTTTACAAGGATTCATGTCTGCATTAACCACAATACATGCAGTCAAAATGCAAATAAAAAAAAACATACTATGATAATATATGCATTATATTTTTTATTTTAAATATATATTTTATTTTTTATTGTTTCCCTTCAACGTGACTTTACCGAAAGAATCAAGAATATGAATCACTGCAGTCACGAAAGCTTTAAATCAAAATATATGCATTGTCCTTGAAACTGATTGGTCCACACCAAAAGAAAGCCGTCCCTTGGTGTGGGCCAATCAGTTTCAAGGACAATGCCACATATATTATCATTGTATGTTTTTTGTTTGCATTTTGACAGCATGTATTGTGGTTAATGCAGACATGAATCCTTGTAAAAAAAAGGTTTCAGTTTTGTTGCCAGAAAAAAAGGGGAAAAACCCTATTATAACCAAAATATATTTTGATTTAAAGCTTTCGTGACTGCAGGGATTCATTATTGGTTCTTTCGGTGAAGTCACGTAGAAGGGAAACAATAAAATTATACAAATATAAAACTATTAAATTTTATAAAACAATAAAATTGTATTTTTATAATGCCGATGACGTCAATCTACATTAACTTTTCAATCAATGACCTGGTGATGATGATGCTGCTGGCGCAGTGAATAATTAACAATTAAAACAATCTATCTTTATTTAGTCTGGTGGAATCCGATGAGCAATTAAGCTCTTTTTCAAACTACAATCGTCAATAACAACAGGGGACACGTACGGAAGCCGTCCAGGAGTTGGGAAGCAACGTGACCGTAACATTCGTAAAGTGTAATCGCTTAATGGGTTTATTTTTTCTATCGTTATTCTTAAAGTCAGAATCTTTATGAAAATGCGAATGAAAAACCCATCGGAGACCCACCCCTGAACGATCCAATGGATTAAAACAAAATAATCCTAATACGAGTGGAGATTGCAGAATGTTTTCACAAAACAGAATCCAGTAGAATTTTGATTTAAAGCTTTCGTGACTGCAGGGATTCATATTCTGGGTTCTTTCGGTAAAGTCACGTAGAAGGGAAACAATAAAATAATGAAAATAATAAATATATAAAACAATATAAAATAAAATAAATATCTAAAACAATATATGTTTTTGTATTTTATTGTTACCCTTCTACGTGACTTTACCGAAAGAACCAAGAATAAGAATCTAGTAGGTTATAGAGTTACTTCGCAACTCGTAACTCTTTATTGTGTTTTCAAATTATTTTAATAGTTACTTCTATCTAGTGGAAGGACTCCTCCACTCCAGATTTGAGATTTCAGAATGTTGCCAGACAAGACTCAATCCAGTAGGTGGATCGAGTCGCATTTGAAATCCGTGTAAAATATATAGGGGAAACTGGCGAAACGATCCGTACAATAAACCCAACATGCTGTAGTATGACATGTGTTGTTCTATTATATCCTTAATGTGCGGTTACATTTTTCACCAATATATCAAATTGCCATTTTAACAAACTGCAGACACAATTATTGACACGCACTTAGGTGCCGTCCTTAAATGACGTCACGCACCTATTTTTTTGGGGGGGTGTCAGATATTTGTGACGATGTGTGACGAGGAGGGGGAGGTTTGAGAAATGTGACGTCACATAAAAATTCGCAACTTTAAATATCGACAACACGTTCTACTTAAATTTTGATTTAAAGCTTTCGTGACTGCAGTAATTCATATTCTTAGTTTTTTCGGTAAAGTCACGTTAAAGAGAAACAACAAAATAACAAAATATATATAAAACAATAAAAAATTCTCACGACGTTTCGACCATAACTCAAACGGTCATCATCAGGTGTGTCACATAACTTTAAGATCCTTCAACAAACTCCGGGATAAGAAAGCTCAGCTGATCGAGTCTCTCACCTTCCTGAAGAGATGCCGCGACTCTGGGGTAATACCAATCGCATTTACACTCACCTCTGCTACTGTAACTTCTTCTAATGCGAAACGAATTCTTTTCAAAACTAGCTTAGCTCTTATCTCAGAAAAAATCAGACTTATACGCACAGAACTAGATCAGTTAGACAAGACACTCTACTAATCACACTTATCATTGACGGCAATAATGTCCACATCGGATTGGGAACATGTAGACAATATGACTGCCTCTTCAGCTGCTACTATGTCGACCAAATGTAAGGAAAACCTGATTTCCAAATTTAACCTCCTCTTCAACAAAAGACCGGACCCACACACCAAAAAGTTAGACGTTAATAAAGTCGTAATTAATCGCAGTAACAGTTCTATTTCCGATGGTCTGAAATCCGTTTTAGCTAAAGGTCTAAACTTTGCAGTCACACCTAAACACATACCAGTTAATGATATAATTGCCCAAGTAGACGTTGCTCTCGGGGGCCTGGGTCACATCGCGTTTAGACGTAGCAAGATCTGAAATCGCTGCAACCCTCAAAAACGCTAAGATGCCAGCTAGCAACCTCAGCAAAGATGAGCGTTTTGAATTATATAAATTAAAAAAGAGGAATGATATTGTAGTTCTCTCAGCTGACAAAGGCAATGCTATTGTCATCATGGATAAAATAGAATACAACAACAAAATTAAAGAATTACTCGACGATGGTAGTTATACAAAAATAAAAAGAGATCCCACCAACAGCCTCGTCACACAAACCAACAAAATAATTTCTGATTCAACCGCATTAATTGATCAATCTAAACAGTTTTCGTTGAAACCTTCTGCTGCCAGGCCACCAAGATTATACGGTTTACCAAAAATACATAAAGTTGATACACCTCTTCGTCCCATAGTCTCTACTATCAGCTCCCCCACCTACAAACTAGCTCGTTTTTTGTCTGAAATCCTGCGTCCTTTCACTGGAAAGACCACCTCTGCGGTACAAAATTCTACTCACCTGGTATCAACAATCAAGGGTATTTCCCTGTCCCCAGACGACCTGCTTGTCAGTTTTGATGTAGTTTCCTTATTCACCAAGGTTCCTGTACCTGACACCATTGCAATCATTGAAGACTTGGTTCATCAAGGACTAAACACTGAGGTACCCCCCCTGGTGAGACACTGTTTAACCAATACATACTTCACTTGGAATGGAACTTTCTACAAACAAACTGAGGGCACCCCAATGGGCTCCCCCCTTTCTCCAGTTATAGCTAACATTTTCATGGAGAAATTTGAGACTGACGCCATCCAGACTGCCACTCTGCGCCCAACCTTATGGAAGAGGTACGTGGATGACACTTTTGTCATCTGGCCACATGGCCGGCCTGCTCTAGACCAATTCTTCGACCACATCAATTCCATACACCCAGCCATCAGATTTACCATGGAAGTCGAAATAGATGGCAAGATACCTTTTTTGGATGTCCTAATTAAAAAGAGACCTGATGGTTCAATGAGCCACTCTGTCTACAGGAAAGCTACCCATACGGATGCTTATCTGAAACCGGATTCCCACCACCATCCATCACAGAAGAATTCTCTCATCAAGACTCTGTATCATAGAGCCCAATGCATATCCGACCAGGAACACATAAGCAGTGAACTCAAGCACGTACACCAAGCTCTTAGGGCTAATGGTTACTCCGACTATACAATCCGCAAAGCTATCACTCAAACCATGAAGAAGAACCCTCTTGAGGAGCCTTTCAAAACCATCACTTTACCCTACATTGCTGGGATCACAAAAAAAAAGATCTCCAAAATCTGGAATAAACACAAGATCCAGGTCCGTTTCAACACATTACATAAAATCCGTGATCTGGTTCCGTCTGTAAAAGATGTGATTCCGGACATACAATACCCTGGTGTCTACAAACTAAGTTGCCTCTGTGGTAGTAGTTACATTGGAGAAACCAAACGCCATATCTCGGACCGCATTCGTGAACATAAAGCAGACCTTAAACACGGTAGGACCAACACCTCGGCCGTAGCAGATCATTGTTCTAATTCAGTAGGCTCACATGCCATTGACTTTTCCAAGACGGAGGTTCTTTGTAAGCCATCTGGCTTCCATGAGAGATTCGTTCATGAGGCTATCCACATATACAAACACAGAGACAATTTCAACCGAGAAGATGGATTCTATCTTAGCAATCATTGGAAAGATTTGATAAATCATTTCAGTTCTTGATTGATTGTTCACGCTTACAGTGGCTTTCAGACAGCATACATAAAAACAAATTTCGTCTCCCCCCTCCTCTTTTCAAAAAATAGATGGACTAGTCCTGGCAAACAGCCAATCGTTGCGCGTGACGCAAACGTTATTTTTATATAAATAAATAAATATGCCGTTTTCAAAATAAATTTATGCAAACCGACACACCTGATGATGACCGTTTGAGTTATGGTTGAAACGTCGTGAGAATTTTTTATTGTTTTATATATATTTTGTTATTTTGTTGTTTCTCTTTAACGTGACTTTACCGAAAAAACTAAGAATACGTTCTACTTAATTAGACTTTTTAATAAATGTTTTCTCCTATAACTTCAGAGTGCAGCGCCACATTAAACACACAACTACAATAGTTTAAAGCGATTTGAAGCATGTTTGATTTTTTTGGAGGGGGGGGGGCAGAGCTTTGTGACGTCATATTTCAGGGAGGGGGGTCTGACTTTTTGTGACGCCGTGTGACGAAGAAGAGGGGGGGGGATCAAAAATTGTCAAAAAAAATCGCGTGACGTCATTTATAGACGGCCCCTTAGCACACACTGCTATCAATAATTGAGCATTATACCGCGGCGTAAGGTAAACGGCTATTAAATGTATACACACTGCGTTTGATGACGCGCCCAATGCACCGGGAGCATTCCGTCACAAAGAGCTTCATAGCTCATCGGATTCCTCCTGCGCGCTCCCAGTATCGCAGACTACGGCGGCCGCTGTGCCCTCTTGTTCAATGCGGAAACTGAAGAGGCGTGTACGGCAACACACCGACATACACTCACTCAACACTCAGGGGAGGCGTTCAGGACACGGCTTCACACCAACAGCCGTCGGTTCGTCTCTGTAAGTACTTGTAAGTACATCCCGCGGCGACAAGCGGGACCGCCTTTCGAACTTGTTACAACAACAATAACAACAACAAAAACAATGGAAAAGTTTCGCGTCACGGGTCGCCGTCGCTCGTAACAACGGTGAGACGGGAGGGCCCCACACTGAGCTGCTCCGCTACCGTCAACCAAACAACCGCGTATCTCGTGAGCTACGCCCGTAGGGCAATTAACAACAAATTAAACAACATTAAATCCCTCACGATGGCACGCAACGGCTGCCTTTTTAACGCAAATAACAGCTTGGGAATAGCATCGCGTGATGAAGGCCTGGGCGGAGGACTGGTATCTTGAAGGCGCAGAGTTGACCTTCAAGAGCCTAGGGCTGGGCAGATCTTGGGCCCGGTTATTAATATTAATGATCAATTATTACTTTACTAATAATAGGGGTTTTCCCCCTTTTTCTGGCAACAAAACTTAAACCTTTTTTTTACGAGGATTCATGTCTGCATTAACCGCAATACCTGCAGTCAAAATGCAAACAAAAAACATACTATGATGATGTAGAGTGGTCGGGAACCTTTTTGGCTGAGAGAGCCATGAAAGCCACATATTTTAAAATAAATTTCCGTGAGAGCCATATAATATTTTTTAACACTGAATACAACTAAAGAAATGTCAGCTAAGATTTATTTGCGAGCCAGATGCAGTCATCAAAAGAGCCACATCTGGCTCGCGAGCCATAGGTTGCCGACCCCTGATGTAGACGCTCACCCCGAGCCCTCATTACTTTGATAGTGGCATTGTCTTTGAGCTGTGTGATGCCTTTTGGCGTCATCTGGTCGAGCAACAATTGGGTCGAGGCTCAAAAGAAAGCCGTCCCTTCGTGTGGACCAATCCGTTTCAAGGACAATGCCACATATATTATCATAGTGTTTTTTTGTTTGCATTTTGACTGCAGGTATTGTGGTTAATGCAGTGACATGAATCCTTGTAAAAAAGGTTTCAGTTTTGTTGCCAGAAAAAAGGGGGAAAACCCTATTATTACATTTTGGTACTGGCAAAGGAGGTCTAATGATATTACTTTCCTCATGCCCGGAATCGTGTGTGTACGAATCGACCACGGTGGTGTTTTTTTGTTGTAATTTACGATCTCCCGTCGCGGTAAGCCCCCACCCGGTCGTGGGTCCACCATTTACAACACAGCTGTTAACATCACCCGATGAAGCTGGTGGTAATCACCAGCGAAACGTCGTACACTCGAATTGTAGATGCCGTGGGTTTGCTCTCCAACACACCGGTGTGCTGAAGTAGTAACTCATTGGCACGTTCTCTGTCGGGTGGTGGAGGGGTTTAACGATCTATTGACGCGATCTAACCCCCCCAAAAAAACTTTATTATGGACGTAGTGTGTGGTGGGTTTAAAGTGTGGGTACTCCCACTTTTATTCCAAGACGTCTGACCAGTGTGTTGGATGAGTTAAGCCAACGTCGCTTTTAGTCGTGGTGTTAGCAAGAACTTCCTGTTCTAGGGTTACGTTTTAGTTGCAGGTGCCGGAGCAAACTGCACACAGGAAGCTGGAGAATTGAGACGCCAATACAACAAAGAGTAAAAATCACGACTTAAATAAATGAATTATGGACTTTTTCAAACACGTGGTTGCGTCAGAATCAGAATATTTATTTATACTGGAGAAATCCGATGACCTATAATGCTCCTTTCCGCAGATGTCCAATGATTGTCCACCAGCCACAGCTGACCCTGTGATTGACACATGTATTTTGATGGCTATTGTAGAATCACTCATCGTGTCCCCGAGTATCCCAAATTCTTCATCAGCAATACCTTTTCACCATCGCACCGAGACAACCAAAGTGTTTTCTCCAGAGGGGACCATGTTCCTTTCTGAGGACTGAGTTGAATACGTTATCCAGCCAGGTCTGGTTGCAGGACGTTCACTGAGCGTGTCCACTTGAAACGTTCTTAAACCGTGCTTTAGATTGTGTCCTCAGAGCGATTGACATGTATTCAAGTACTTGAGGTGGAGAGGTGGCACAATGATTAGAGCATTGTGCTGTGTACGTAGTCACCCGAGTTAGCTTCATTGCGATGGACAGAATCAGTGGTGAGTGATATATGATTTGATTCTGCTCCCTCCCAACTTCATCAACCTGGACTGACCAGCGTGGTGAAGTATGGTCAAACAATCTCCACGAATGAATCGGTGTCGGAAAACCGTTATAAAGCAGTGGATTTACATAAGGCTATTGTCACTAATGATAAAGTACAGCTATATTTTATACGACTATATGTAATTACCTGCAGTGTGTTTATGAACTAATGCAACGCAAAGAGGTCACTTACAAAGGTATGTTTTATTTTGAAGGCAGTGTTATTGAAGAATGTGAGGTGTTTGCCACAGGTGTAGGCTTCTTGGAGATTGTTGTGGTCTCCATTTCAATTACTTATCAGTTCTTGCAAACAATGACTGTACTGTAATACAATAAACATTTCGACCTTTACGTCTTTGAATAACCTTTGTAATGGAAACACCCGATTTGTATCTGTGTTTCCTTGAAGTCAACCTTCAGAGTAACCTAGCTGCAATGGGTTAAATCGCAATTGTATACTTAATGAAAGATTAAGTTTAATTATTCAACCTTCAAAACGTGGTCCTCAACGGGTGTTCATATGGGGTCAAGGAAAAAAAAGCATCCAGGTCTTGAAGCCAGATCATTGACTGCATTTAATTGTACTGTATGTCTTATATTTCACCTTCACCAGATCACGATAACCAAAGTGAAATACGGTAAAATAACCCCCATCACCCTTAAGGTGTGAGGAACCCTTCAATCCATTGGTGGACTGACAAATGTCCATACTTGTACAACAATATACACTGCATTATATATATAAAGATGAGTACAATAATATAGTCCTGCACAAATTTCCATTAACAAATTCCAAAATAAGCTGTGATTTTACAAATATATTCTATATTAATATTGCTTAATGTTATTTCATTAATTTGATAATATACATGAATTTAAATATACATATGCACATAATTGGACAGTGGGCAGTTCAATTCCTCATTGGTTGTGTGGTGATGAAGAACTCGCCAATTTCAGTTGAAAGTCTGTTTTTGGTCAAACTCCACGTTCACGTGGACCAAAATCTCGGAACTCGACTTTTCCCACGTTTGAGATCTGAATCCACCTCACTGAAGTAAATGTGCTTCACATGGGGGAAAGAATACGCTTTGTGATAAGGTGGTTATTTAACCTTTCCGAATCTGAAAAGCTCCACAGGGCAATCTGGGTTCAGAAAACCGACTCTACCTTTCTGACAAGTGAACACACAGACTTGGGTGAGAGTTGGGAGTTTTGAAAGTAATTTAAAAAAAAATGTGCCTTTACCTTTAATCCATGTAAAAAGTTCTTGTCATTACTAAAATACAACATTTGAAGATCGCCGACAGCTATATAAAAAGATTCCCTACGTAATCATCAGTCATGTAATCCTCTGCTGGATGAATGCCGCCCCATGCCACGGACGGTCATGGGGATTAATTGACCATATTTCACCATGCTAGTCAGCGCGGTCTGGGGAAGGGGGTTACATTGGTTGCAACAGAAAATACTGTACATTTGAATAGGTTCTCACATTTGTAATTGAGAGACCGAGGCTTAATTTCAGCCGGATCTGGCCACGTCGGTGACCCGGAAAATTTTTTCGCACGCCACATGCTTTGGTTGTGATTGCCGCATTCGTGCCATCTTCTATTGTATTGGGGACCTGGAAAATATCCAGTTGAGAAATGATGCCCTGTCTAACACTGTGTTGATTGTTCGTTTGTGTCATGCCAGCAGGAGCCTTCTCTGAATTACAATTCAAGCGATGGATCCCATTCGCGAGGAAATGAAGGACTGGTGCAGGTCCCATTCAGTAGACTTTTACATCGTGCATGTGGATCATCTCATCCCACATCTTGTGTGCCTCACCGAAAGCGATGTGGTAAGAGGAAAAAGCCGTGATATAAAATACGACAATTTAAATGTATTTGTTCATGACGATTATTACAGTTGCTTTTTCAAGAGAGACCTCGGTTAAGAAACAACTGCAGCAGTGAGCAAAAATCAAATGACATGGTGAGGATAGAGGCTATTTTAACAGCCCTTTGTCAGTTGTCTGCTGGATGAGTGCCCTACGCTGCCTAGGTCATGGGAATTAGTTGAGTTGATGAACAAGACCAAAAGTTCAGGCCCTAAGGATCCAGCATCATCTTCCTAGGGACTCGCCAGTATTTAGCGCCTCCCTGCACTCCTCTCTAACCTCCGCCAGTCTTACTTCTTCTGCTGCATCTCCCATCCATTCACTTGCGTCATTTGCCCATCACCTTCTTGCAACTATCTGCATACTCATTTGGAATATCACTGTCATAAAAAGTTTAGTGAGATATACCCATGAGTGTTTAGATCAGCTGAGCCCATGAGTGCTGTCCTGGCAGAGACACGATAGTTTTAACTAAGTAAGCAAAAGCAAGCAAATATATCCTTCATAACCAGGTGTGATCCCACAACAAGGTTAATCAGAATCATGATTTATACATGTTGAAACAAAACCAACAACTTTATTTTCGGTTTATAAGGTTTTTGGATGCAAATCCAAACATGAAATGACAAACCAGCACACGGGTTTAGTTTCAAGGAAGATTTTGGGTTGATAGATGATCACGATTTCTTCTAACTTACATTGAGCAAGTGTGTGAAGGATATGAGGTCCTGTTAAGTATTGTTCAAATCCAATTGCAATTAAGTTTGAACTTCATTTTCAGAAGAACCAGACAATTTTTAAGTATCTTGTCATCAGCAATTTTGAGCTCACATGTACAGTACAAGCGCAGGGTATCCTGACCACTTTTTTAAAGTGCTTGGTCTTCTTTTATGTAGGGGTAGTTGTGATTCTTGACAGCTTTGAAATAGGTATTTTTTGGGCAAGTATTCTATTTTCAACGAGACATGCAGAGTAGAGGTTGCGACATAGCGTAATGGTTATCGCATTCCAGTATGAACCCGGTGATCTGAGTTGATTCCCTAGCATGGCTAATATCAGTGGTGAGTGATATCTGAAACGGTCCTGGGGTTCCCCCATCACTAACCTGTACTGACCATCTTCTTGGTTCTATCAGTAAAGTCACGTAGAATGGAAATAAAATAATAAAAATAAAACATAATAAAATAAATTTCTCACGACGTTTCGGCCACAACGCAAGTAGCCTTCTTCAGGTGAAGGAACAGAACTGTCGGGACGACAGTGCTTCAATGAACACTGCTAAGCTTGGCAGCGTCTTTTAAGCTGGGTGGGAGGAGCAGAGTGCCTTGACAAAGGAATTTACATATCAACAGAAGAATTTAGCATTTAAATAACTGTGTTAAAGTGTTGGATTAGCAGGGTGTTAAAGTCAGAAATTAGCATGTAACTGGGAGATTAGCATGATGTTAATGTGAGGTATTAGTATGTAACTGGTCACGGAAGTAGCTATGTTAAAGTCAGAGTTTACATATCAACAGAGGCATTTAGTATATTGACGCTAACTACCCAACTATACAATAAGCCGATGTAAAAGAACTAAGTATAAACTACATCAATATAATAAATGTACTCAATATATTCAATAAGTTGAGCTATTAACATATACACTACGCTATATAATGAATACCATATAGTAAACTGATAAAAAAACTAAAATATGAACTACTTCAATGTTATCAATAAACTCGATATACTCTCCAATCAGCTGAGCTACTAACAATAAGACGTTATACATTACAATTCTATGTCGAAAAAAAAGGTGCTGTTTTTTTCTTTTCAACGTTAGCACCACGGAAAGCAACGAGCTTTGTTCAGACGGACGAGTCCATCTATGCTCGGAACAGAGGAGGGGGGAGAAACAGCCACGATGCGCTGCTCTGTCCTGTGTTGCGTTACAACTATGTTATAAACTAGACTACTATACATTACAATGTTATACCTTCCAATCTAAACTGCATTGTATAATATCGTATACACAGCCCAATGTAAGCTCTAACATGCCTTACACGACTATACACCATAGTATACACTGCCATATACTAAATGCCTCTGTTGATATGTAAACTCTGACTTTAACATAGCTGCTTCCGTGACCAGTTACATGCTAATCACTCACATTAACATCATGCTAATCTCCCAGTTACATGCTAATTTCTGACTTTAACACCCTGCTAATCCAACACTTTAACACAGTTATTTAAATGCTAAATTCTTCTGTTGATATATAAATTCCTTTGTCAAGGCGCTCTGCTCCTCCCACCCAGCTTAATAAGACGCTGCAAAGCTTAGCAGTGTTCACTGAAGCGCTGTCGTCCCAACAGTTCTGTTCCTTCACCTGAAGAAGGCTACTTGTGTTGTGGCCGAAACGTCGTGAGAATTTTATTTTATGATGTTTTATTTTTATTATTTTATTTCCATTCTACGTGACTTTACCGAAAGAACCAAGAAGATGAATCCCGGCAGTCACGAAAGCTTTAAATCGAAATCTGTACTGACCAGTTTGGTGATGTAAAGTGAAAGGCGCAGGCCTACAATAGCTTGCTCACGGCACTGCTCGCCGAAGGGCTTCCACGAGATTGAGCTCTAGAGAGCCCCTCTAGAGAGTACTCGGTTCCACTGTTCCACGCTCGCCAGACATCTTGGACAACGTGGAAGTATACCCACATTCAACCTCGCCACATGCAACATGCCGTTCGACTTGTGGTGCTAGTGAAGTATGGTAAAAAAAAATATGACATGGCATGGGGGTATCCTTCATCCGGCAGTTTACTGATGAGGTGTAATTAATAATGAATGTTATTTTTAAAGCAACTGTATTGCTGACAGCGAGGTATTGTTATACACCACCGTTGGCAAAGTTGTATTTGCGCTGCATTGCTTGTTCACATGCAGGAGCAGATCAAATGTGATCTAGACCGGTATGGCAATAATCGTGGGATGGATTCATTGTTGAACCACCTGTGGAGGCGTTCCCGCTGGTACGACGAATTCATATCCGCCCTCCGCAAGGAAAGACACGGTGAACTGGCTGACAGAATGCAAGTCGAACTGTCTGCCCGTAAAGGTGAATACCACACCGCAAACGTCTTAATGATCATTTGTGAGAGAAAAATAAACGGTTTGTAGATTAGGTTGTTGAAATGTGCTCCAAGCCACCCATATATTTTTTTCCTTATCTAGAGAAACAATTGTGTACATTGTACATTAAAAAAATTCATACCACTTATTGTCAAGAGTGCCAATGCACGATTTCGGGTGGCAATTCGTAATTTCACCTGTTCATTGTTAGGGATTATTGCGTGCACGCCTTGTGAGGTGTGGTTTGTGTGTATTTGGGGTGGCGGTGGCAAATTCCAACCAGACATCTGTGTTTGCGTCTGAAAGTTTCATTAGCATTCATCGTGCGTGAAATACCTTCAGACAGTTCTGCATATCAGCCTCTTCCAAAGAATATTCCTCTCATTGTAGGGACTATCTTCATGGTGTTTTTTTTACTTGGGATGAGACACAGAGCAAAAACAATCCCGTGATTATATGGATTGTAGATATGGAGTGTCTTTGTGTATAGGGGCCTCACATAATGATAAAGCAGCCACTGCTGATTACGTTTATATACATTAACTTTCCCGAGATTCGCTGAAGTGGTTCGCATAATTTAATAGCTTATTTTTAGTTTAAATGCAGTTTTTTTGCTTGCAGTCCCACAAAGCAGCTTGAGATGCGATTGTTTTTAGACGCTGTACAATTCTTAATTACTGTTATTCTTGTCATTGACTAGCGGCACGACAACCCACCTCTGCTCGCCAGCCCGTGCATCCCCCCATGGATGTGAACGTTCACGGGAGAGATGGAGGTCCCGCCATGGTGGTGGCCGAGCAGAAATCTCTCTCCAGTGAGAATAGTGGTCACAAGGCCAATTTCCCAGTCCAGGTCTCGCCTGACCCCCCTCCTGCCCCATCTCCAGTGCAACCACCTGTCCAGAATGAGGCATCCGCTCGGTCCACTCCGGCTGAAAGCACTTGCGGGGAAGGGCTGCCAACGCCCACCGCCGGTGGTGGCGCTGCCGTGGAGTCGCCAAAGGGGCAGGGTACGGGCGCGCCGAGCCTGGAAGGGGGTTCGGCGGACGTGAGTGGTGATGGCTTCTTGGATGGTAAAGACGCAAGGGCACCAGTCCAGGAGAGGGACGCAGCTGTGGAGGAAGAAAAACTCGCACCGCGCAAACCGGCTTCTGAAAAGCGGCAAAACAACGCCGACTTGGATGCGGTGGTAGCAGGCCGTGAGCGCAGCGATTTGCCCAGTCAAAGTGTGTCTGCCGTGAATACACTTGATAATGCCAAAAGTCCGCCCGGGGTACCTGAATGTAATTTATCGCCTCAGCCTTCACAGCCCGGTCGAGATAGCAGGAGTCGTGAAGATGAAGATGACATTGTTAAGCCACAGGTTCTGAGCACAAATCCACCCAGCAGCTTTAATATAACAAGTGCTGATGTGCAGATCAGCGTTGCAGATACCCTGGAAGTTAGTGAGGCGAGTGATGGTACCTCCCAAAATCCACAACTGTTGAATAATGTCAACGATACAAGTTCGCCTATGTTTCTTCAAATGCAGCATGACAACAGAATGGACCATGCGACCAAAAAAAGTGACAAAGGTGACCGTTTGTCTGAAACGAAGGCTAGAGGATCGGCTCTGCAGATGGGAAGCTTCACTGGACTGTCAACAAACGACACCAATGCTCCACGGCTCGGTCAGCTTGCAGCATCTGAAAACGTTGTGCGCAACAACTTGTCACGAAAGGAAGACGCACAGGTCCTGCCAAAACGACCCAACGAGCAACCTGGTGAGCAATACGAGCAACGCTACAAACAACCCCAAGAGCATCTCGACACGCAACCCTACAAGCGGAATAATGAGCAATCCAACGACCAGCAGGTTGAGCAATCCTCCGTGCAGTCCTACGAGCAACGCTACGAGCAACCCCAAGAGCATCTCGACAACCAACCCTACAAGCGGAATAATGAGCAATCCAACGACCAGCAGGTTGAGCAATCCTCCGTGCAGTCCTACGAGCAACGCTACGAGCAACCTCAAGAGCATCTCGACAAGCAACCCTACAAGCGGAATAATGAGAAATCCTCCGAGCAGCAGCTTGAGCAATCATTTGAGCAATCCTCCAAGCAGCGTGACGAGCAGAATAACGCATCCCGAGGGGTGCACAGAGCGACGGAAGCAACCAAACCTCTCCCTGATGAAAGCAAGTTGAGGAAATGGCTGGAGGAGAACCAGCTGGTTTTGGGAGGAGCTGTCTTGGCGGGCATATTGGTGATTGCTTGGCTTAACGTTCGCCATCGGTATTGACATACGTGTCTAGATGGGAGAGCGAGGGTGAGGTTTGATGGGCACTATCAATACGTCGCCGATATATTAGCACAGGGTTTTTCAACTATCTTTAATATTTTCTGGTGGACCACAATAAATTTAGTGTGGGCCAGTGGGCCACGTGACGACATATTTCACGTGTACAGATGTTATGAAATCACTTGGCGTGATGTCATGTGACCACAATCTCCCTCTAGTCTCCAGGTTTCTCTCTTGTTTGTCTTGCTTTCATCTCAGTAATCCATCCCCATGAGCCTGGAATCATCAGGTAAATTTACTGCACTGGCATTGGTATGATTGATCAGAATCAGAATGTATTCATACTGGAGGAATCCAATGAGCGATAAAGCTCTTTTTCACATGTCCAGTAGGGGCAGGTAAGAACGTGACAACAACAAACAGTACGAAAACACAACAGTAGTGCAAAGTACAGAAAGGTCAACAAATCACCCAAACGCAAACACAAATACAACAATAAACCATCCCCATCTGGAGTTTGAAGACATGGTTATAGCTTGTAGCTCGTGAGACCATTTTAGTTACTGTTTTCTTCCAGTAGATGGGGGTATATGTAAAGTTTTCTACACTCCCGCATTTAACATGGCCTGAGCCATACAAATTGAGCAATTTCCTGGAAATAATTTACTATTTTAATCCGCCTACTTCCTGGACAATATTTAGTTTATTACCATTTTTTTTTACCAGGACGCCATCAAATACACACACCTGTCGTTGTGGTGCAAATACTATAACTTGATTTTGTTTACATTCAAAAATGCAAGTAATCCAGATGTACTGGTGATGTGTATCTGTAAGTCAGCAATGTGGCTTGTGGGTAGTGGTGTAGCTATGGGCAGCGCAGGCCGGTGCATGAGGTCCCAAGGGCCAGAGGGGCCCACATGCCAAGCTAAAGTGGAGGAGAAATCGGATAGGGGGGAGGGCCTCTTTTAATTCCTTGCACTAGGGCTCATGCCAATCACGCTGCGCCTCCACTTGTGGGGTTGGTGTGTTGTGCTGGGTTCATATGTGAAACGCCCACCTGTAGAGTCCGCTAGGTGCCTATCGTGGAGTAATACGGAAAGTAGGTAACTAACCTATGTCATCCTGATTCTCATTTATGGGTTTTCCATTTGCACTTCGTTGTACACTTGCATGCAAAAATAAACTAAGCATCCTAAATAGGTCGAGCTTTCCTTAAAATAAGCGATGAAAATCATTAAGTCTTTTCTCATTAAATAAGGATTAGTTTTGGATAAACTGGCCAATAAATGTATGAAGAGAGTAATAATGTTAGACGTGCAACATTAACATTTGTACAGGTGCATGTGTTCAGCAGTGAAATCGAATTGTAGAAAAAGATTTAAGTTTAAAAAATCTACGTTCAAAATGTTTTGATAATTTCCCTCCCAATTGTGTCCTGATTGTGTCCTATTGGCGTCATGCCGTTAGGCAGAGTTCCATTCGCATCTTTCGCAGAACAGTGTGATCCTTTGTATGAGAGAATGGGACACGTATGTGAATATCACACAAGCTATCTCAAAACCTTACCTCTGAGCCATTGGGCCACCTCAAGGTGTCAAAATGATTTAACAATTTTTTTTGTATATTGTTCATTGGGAGCATGTTGAAATCAAAATGTTTCGCCGTCTTTTGCATTGCTGCTACCGTTAATTCAAACAATGTTGATGTTCCAATGCGCAAGAGTCTCAGATGTAATTGTACCAGGTGTATTCCACTATAGTTTTCACAATATGGTCAGTCAATTGCTAATTTGGATATTTTTCCTTTTAAATTGTATTTGTGTGATTTGAAGTGAAAATCAGTGGCCATAAACTAACCCCGACTAGTATTAATCGTCCGTCTTGGCTTCTCAAAATTGTTATAGGGAGGATTTGTTGGAGATTTAGAGACATACTCTTTGGTTCTTTCGGTAAAGTCACGTATTATTTTTCTACCTACGTGACTTTACCGAAAGAACCAAATAGGTTAGATTCCTGCAGTCACGAAAGCTTCAGATCAAGATTTAGAGACAATGAACGTACCAACAAATTGCATAATGCCACATGTGGGAGCGGTCGTGCAATAGCGCGGTCATTTGCACTCTGCGATAAAAACGCAGCAGAAACCGGCCAAGGCGAGCATCAGTGGCGAGTGAAATCTGAACCCGTTCTGGGCACCCCCCCCCCCCCATCACCAATCTGCACCAACCAGCATGGTGAAATATGGTCAAGCAACCCCCATGACTTGAATGGCATGGGGAGGCCCTCATCCAGCAGTGGACGGAAAAATTGTACATATATTATGTCTTCATGTGTACGTGTAGACTCCAGTCCAGTGGTTCTTAACCTGGGGTACAGGCACTCCCTGGGCATGCGAGACATGGCCAGATTTCTTTTGAAAGTAAATAATCGTAACAAATTAAGCACGGGAATGGAAGTACAACTACTTTGGTTTATCAAACCTATGTAATTATTATTTTTCTATCTACGTGACTTTACCCAAAGAACCATAGAATAATTTCCATTTTGTTTTGCGATTGAGAACCAAAGGGGTGCAAGGCTGCATTAAAGGTTAAGAACCACTTCTCTCGTGGCTGCAGGGATTAATTTAATTGATTAATTGATGTATTGTTACACCCCAAGTTATCACTAACAGAGGCAGGCATTGTTGAACACATTTTTAACACTAGCTGTTGTCTTAAAAAAAGTCACACCCAAGCAGCTGTAATGTCGGGCTTATTTTGGAAACACATTTTAATGTTTTAGTCGTTACATTGGTGATGGCAGTTACGCTACTGAAAATATGTAATGTCTCCGTCGATGGCATTTTAAAATCTTATTCCCAAAAACCTTTTAATTGTTCCTTTTTGACTTGGTGAAAATAATTATAACGTGGAAAATATACCATCACCATGAGATCATTTTTTCAAGAACATTTTAAATGGTAAACCAGAACTTGATAGTAAAAAAAAATGTTTTTTTAAATTAAAATCTTTTTCCAGTTGCTGCATGTACACTTGTTATAAAACACACTTGGTTTAATGGATAAATCAGCAAATTTGAAGACTTTAATAAAAAAAATCATTCTTCAAAATGTTATTTATGGTCTCTAATAAAGGATTAGAATAGAGTGGTGTGAACTCATTGCTACATCTAATTAAAACTTGCATTGCCTATCAAAATGTGAAAACGTATATATTTTTTATTTGAAGCTTTCGTCACTGCAGGAACCCATACTCTTTGGTTCTTTCGGTAAGTCACGTAGGTATAAAATAATTGTATTTTATAAAGTAATTGTATGTTATACCTAAATTTATGAAACAAATTAATTTTATTTTATATCTACATGACTTTACCGAAAGAACCAAAGAGTATATATTTGTATTGTACACAAACGTCCTTAAGTGGCAACACAATCGCCATGTAACATCACCACAGAATTATACCTGATCGCCATAACATTTGATTCCATGGGATTTGAGCGATTATCACAAAAAAAAACCACCGGGTCCAATTTGAAATTGATCATCAAAAGTGAAAATGCTATCATGGCCAATGCGTTTGCTGCACCACCACACCTCACCATCGCATGCTTCCGCCGGCGCAGAGCTCCGTATTTCTTGCAAAGTTGATGCCTGGCCTTCAGTGTCCTCTCTCACGGCGATTAAACGGTGGGTGAAATAGGTTTAATGCCCCCATGTATGCACACATTGAAATACAGTAGTACATTTTAATCCGCATGGGCCCAAAGACATTACATAGAATTCTGAATGTCCTGCTTTGCAAGCTTACAAAAGCTGTCTCTGACAATTGTCAGCCCTGAAACATTCAATTGTATAAACTTAATCCACGAGTGCCTCTGACCACCATTTATTTGGCTTCAAATTTTCCCCTTGGCCACTAAAGCTCTCGGTAACCTGCCCTCTTCCGTCCAGCACAAAGTGTCGCACACATCGCAACCCGCCTGTACCTGATACCATCTATCGCAGCGAAATTTGGAATACGTACAGTATTTACAACCATTAATTTTACAAGCAAAGCACAGTGAATCCTTTTTGGATTCACCAGAAAAAAAAAACATCTTGACACCTTTTTTTAAATTTGCGTGTCAGTTTTGATGAAGTTACGCTTGGACAGATGCTTTATTCACACGTAAGTTTCGTAACAAAATAATACACAGCTTCTTTCTGCATCAGAGGCACTAGTTGATTAAACATTTAAATCGTTTTGCGCCTTAATAATTACAGCAACAGTTTGTGAGCTTGCCGTTCAGGACATTTAGAATTTGATTTAATATTTTTTGATTGAAAGCTTTCGTGACTGCAGGGATTCATATTCTTGGTTCTTTCGGTAAAGTCACCGAAAGAACCAGGAATTTGATTTAATATTTTGGGCTAAGTGGCGTCAAATGTGTTATTTCAATGCGTGCATACATGGGGCAGTACTCTTTTCACCCAACATTTAATTACAAACTCCCACAGCACACCCTCTTTCCGGCAAGATAAAACGACGGAGCTCTAATCGCAAATGAAAATGGACCTCTTAGGGTTCCATATTCCAGCGAGAGGTCGTGTCCCATGCTGAGACTCGGCGTTCCGTCATAGCTCCACAAAAAAATATATAATTCTTTTGTTGCGCACACCATCAGTCGAATGTGAGCCGCAGTGATGCGCACAGACAATACACGCGGAGGCACGGGACTCCAGTAATAACTTTGCTGTGCTGATGGCCACAGCGTACGTGTTCTACAGCTGTGTTCCTGTTGGGGGAAAAAAAAACCACTCCCGAATTAGCTTCTCAGAGGCTGAAAACCTGCCAGCGACCTAAGGCAAAAGAGGGTCGTTTCATTTTAATTCATCGCACTCTTTTTTTGATGGAACGCTTTTCTCATTTAGTCACATTTATAATAAGGTCATGCTGTGATAGTGGAGCAATTAACCCTTGCAATGTCTCACCGTGCCAAAGCTACTCTGCAGAAAGAACCAGCACGTGGAAATGTCAGAAATCCTGAGCCATGCCGTCTTATGGCCAATCAACTCGTGCAGCGTCTATTATGATAGCGCCCAAATCGTTGCCGCTCAGGCTTGGCATTGAACATTCACACTGCGTCCTTCGGAGATGAATGACGACTGATTAGATGGGCAGAGAACGCAATTTTACGTCCACCGTGTGTTCAGCTGTTTGTGTAGCGGCCGTATTGCCTCATGCTTCAAACGACCTTGCGTAGCTGGGCAGCACACACAGGCCCTGCCATCCTGCTTCCAGAGATTTCAAACTGACTACGGTGGTGTGTTTGTTTTTTTTGACGCGCGCGTGGCTAAAATGTTCCCGTGAACCTTGTGTTCAATCGCCAAAGACAGGAGATCACCCATATTGATGTTGGGGCAAATGCTGTTAGCGAGCAGCACCTATGAAGGCCGGAACTGCGCACGAGGGGGTGGGTGGTCAGCAATCACGCCCGACCGCCTTTGTCTCCCTAGTGGCGATGTTTACACACCGCACCAGGTACCCATTTGAGGCCGAGTCGACCTAGGGGAGGCCCATAACCGGCTCAGATAATCGTCACTGGTGTTGGTCGTGAGCAGGAATTCAACTCGGGTCGCCGGGTTCCTAACGCGACGCGCTACCCGCTACTCTACCGCTCCCCTTCAGTCACCACAATGACGGTCACAAAGCACGTCCCTTTCTGCCTCTTCTCTTCAGAATCTCCTCCCGTCATTTATTTTCCCAAGTTCGTGTAAACCTGTACATGATGAGAAACGTTTTAACGCTTATCCATTACGACGTTAACAGTGCTGTTTGTTTCCGGCCATTTGGCGTTGAGTCTTTGGGCTTGTGCTCAGCAACTGTGATAATAATAAAAAAAAATCCTTCCACGACTCCCTTATACCGAACATGTCAACTATTTAACGAGCTAAAACTGCGTTTTATTTTACCAAGTAAGGCCCACTGAGCTAAAAAATATTTTTTTCAGAAGCGACCTGGCCACGAATGATAGCTCAACGAAGTGGCTAATCGTCATGTGGAAATGTATCGCAGCCAAATATGCTCAACACATGTTTCTAAAAGGGGAGGGAAACACCGGAGGACCCCGAGAAAAATCCATGCGACCGCAGGAAGAGCGTGCAAGCTTCAAATATACAGCAGGATAGAACCCACGACCTCCTGTATACCGGGCGAGGTAGTTAACATCTCCTAGCCACCGTGGCGTGTTAAATCTCTCGTGATTCGGGCTCGCTTCCGTGAAACGTGGCCCCTCCTCACCTCGTCGCCCACGCTTCCCGGAATGCCAGCGACTCGCATGACTTCACGCTCGTGCCAGCTCAGCGCCGTTTTTACTTTTACATTTTAGCGCTTCGCCTGCGGGAGACCTGGTGCCGATGGACAAAGAGGGCCCTGTTGTTTACTGGGAACCCGGGCGCGGGTTAAAATAGGGACGAGGATAAAGTCTCGGTGCCAGAATCAGGTTCTTGATTTATCTTCTGGAGTTACTTAACATGTTTTTTTTACACCACCCATTCCTCTTGCACCCCCATCCCCCATGCCCCCTTTCGCTTGTGGCGTGGCAGCAGCAGCAAAATGAACGCGTTGGCCTTGCAGGGGAAAGGTTAATGCTAGTTCATTACCCGTTATTATCCAGTGCTTGGACAGCACGGGCCTATTAGCACCTGGGAATTGCCTTTGTTATGCTAATTGTGACTCCGCTCACCAACGGGGTCGAAGTGAAAACATTGACCGTCAGCGGAACATGACGTGGCCGTTTCTCCTCAGGGCGAAATCGGGGTGGAATTTGTTTTATGTTTTCCTTGCTGAAGCTCAACCGGCTGCGCCGGAGAACGCCGTTGATCCGCAAGAGCTTGAAAACTGTATTCAAACCCAAGATCTCACTGATGCCGGCTCGGTCCTCTGACCCTTGAGCCACCCAAAGATCTCGTTGGTGACTCATCTCCACGGTGGCAATACATTTTGGGCGGAGTTGACCAACGTAAGGGGCAGCAGGCAGTATTTGATACAAATATGAATAAAGTCTGGGTAGGTGAGAGGGTAGTTGCCAGTGTGTAACTTCCTTCTGCTTGGCAAAGGCCTCCAAAACAAATTCCCCATTCCTTTAATTTAGTTATTCTTGTCCAGCAGTGGACTCTGAAATATTTGATTTCAACTTGTCATCTCTTTTGCGGGTTTCCTCTGCTTCCTTGGCTTCTCAGTGTCCACCCTATAGTTAATTTGGCCTTTCTCAACAGTTGGATCATTTCAAAATGATTTACTTTGCTTAAACAGCATGGGTGACTTCTGTTCTTTTGTTTATTTATTAATTCAGTAACCTACCTTTACAATTAATATTTTTGATCGATATTTGGCAAACTTGTAGCTTTTTTACCTGTTTCTTAGTTTCGATTTAAAGCTTTCGTGACTGCAAGGATTCATCTTCTTTGGTTCTTTCGGTAAAGTCACGTAGAATGAGAATAAAATAATAAATTGATAAAATAACACAATAATATTCTCACGACGTTTCGGCCACAACACAAGCGGCCTTCATCAGGTGAAGGGACGAAACTGTCTGCAGGACAGCGCTGGAGTGAAAAATCCCCGCTCAGATCGCGACCTTTAAGCTGTGTGAGAAGAAACAAAGCGCCTTGACAAAGGAATTAGCATAGAATTTAGCATTGCAATGGCTGAGTGATTAGTTTGTGACTGGTCACAGAAATGGCTATGTTAAAGTTAAAGCATACACATCCGCAGAGGCACCCCTTGACAAAGGAATTAGCATAGAATTTAGCATTGAAATAGCTGAGTGATTAGCTTGTAACTGGTCACAGAAATAGCTATGTTAAAGTCAGAGCATACACATTCACAGAGGCACCTAGTACAAATCAAACAGGAGAATTTAAATAACTAGGCGAATTTAGCATCAAAGGCATTTCCCTGTCCCCAGACTACCTGCTTGTCAGTTTTGATGTGGTGTCCTTGTTCACCAAAGTCCCGGTACCTGACACCATCTCTTTCATTGAAGACCTGGTTTATCAAGGACTGCATACTGATGTACCACCCCCCCCCCCCCCCCCCTGGTGAGACATTGCTTAACCAACACATACTTCACCTGGAATGGAACTTTCTACAAACAGAGGGCACACCAATGGGCTCCCCCCTATCTCTGGTTGTAGCCAACGTATTCATGGAAAAA